GAGGCATCCCCCCCGTCTTTAAAAACTCTTCTTCTGGAAGAAAAATAAGCTTCAAGGATAGCTTTGCGACCTCCCCTCCTCCCTCCGCCGCCTGTCGCCGACTCCCTTTCTTTGCTGCCCAAACGGGCTTTGGACTCAGAGCCGCCTTAGGGCGTGCGTTTTCCGGGCGGGCTGTATTTTCTCTGTCCGACCCAACCTCTCTCTCTTCCCCCCCCCCCGGACCGCTATTTGTGAGATAACCACCCCCTTTGTGTGTCTCTTTTCCTTCCCCAGATGCTCAAGGTAGCCGCCTTCGCGTGTGTGTGGGCAGCCGCTTGGTGCAGTCAGGGTGTTGTAACGGCGGCGGCGGCGGCAGCGACGGGAGCCGCGGGCAGATCAGACAGCGGCAATTTTCTGGATGATAAACAGTGGCTTACAACTATCTCCCAGTACGATAAGGAGGTTGGACAGTGGAACAAATTCCGAGACGTAAGTGTGCCCGGCTCTCCCCGCCTGCTCGCTCGCTCGCTCGCCTGATCCTTCTGAACCTTCTCTTCCCTCCCTCCATCTCTGCTTACCTGGCTCTTTAGCTGTGGCCGTGGTCACCTTTCCTCGGGGAAGAAGTTTTTGGCTTTTCTCCCCTCCTGTCTGCGAATCTGGCATGGCTCTCTCTTTCTCCAATCCCCCTGAACCTCTTCCACGCCACCTGAGTTTTTGTTTAATGGCAACACCTCTGTTTGTGTATATCGTGATAAAGCTCATCCTACTATGATGTGATCTCAACTTTTGGGGATGAGCGAGGTTTCGGAGGGAGTGGGAAGGACAAAAAACAACAACCACAAGACGACAATGTTATTGTGTCGCATTGCCTGTAGTGTAAAAAGGCATGCCCACTCTGTGTGTGGGGGTGAGATTTGCTTTTAGGGAGTTGTGGAAGGATCGATCTGGTGGTTTAATGGAACCTTTAAAAGAGTGTTAAAGCAAGAGGAGGGCGGAGAGAATGAGGAGACAGAGAATGTACTTTGCAAGATGTGGATGCCTGCTAATGAATAAAAGCCCTGATTGATAGTGATGTGCAGCTAGCTCTGGAGAGAAGGGGAGGTGGATGTTCCCACCCCTACCCCCTGCTTTGTGCGGGCCATAAGTAAATTGTAAAGCTGATCTGAAAATGTGAAGGACCCTGGGGTTGGACCAGGTTTAAAGTTGTCCTCTTCTGCTCTGTGCCTCTCTAAAAAGGGAGGTGGTGTTTTGCCCAGGGAAAAGAAGAGCACTTGGCACTCCATGCTGACTGAAAGACAAGAGTGGTCATAGAGGAAGTTAAAGAGTCAAAGTGTCTTTGGAAGAGGGAGTGATAATTTTAAGGCCCCTGGAGGCTCTTTTAATCCAGGGTGCATGAGGAAGATGCATCACTGTTGCTAGAAGTGTGTTTAGTTTTCTGTAGTTGGCTCCGTCTAGTTTATCATCTGCCATCATAGTGTTCTTTCTGCCTAGGGATTTGTATTCTGTAATTGTCATATGGCTTATGTGAATGAGCTCAAGAGTAAATATTTGACAGTGCTTCTTCACTCCTACGACAGTGGGTACCTTGGCGGAATCAGCATCCATTCCACAGGGACATAATCCCTGTTAAATTTCAGGTCCTGACACTCCACCCCCACTCCAGAGCAAGGACTGAGCCAGGTGAGTGCTAAATCTCAATCATACCCTGGCCAGTCTGTGCAAGAAACAAACAACTGAAAAGGCAGGTTACTAGTTTTAAATCATTGCTGGTTATTTTCATCTACTTGCTCCACTCTATTCAGCAAGATATCTTGGGACTGTGTCTGGAACTTCTAAACTCAGCAGAAACAGTTCAAGCATTGCAAACCAAACCAATGAAAAACACCTTAAATGAATGCATTTTCATACTATTTTATGTGCTGGATTAACAGGGAGTCTTGAACTTTAAATGTGTGCAGTATTTAGAGGTTTTGTTGAATCCATTTTAACCTGCGTAGCCAGGTTTATGCATATGCAATTGAAAATAAGTCCTAATACTGTTCACTGAAAATTGATTTCAAATAAGTGTGCATGGGATCAGGCTGCTTTGTTGCTAGGATGTAAGCCATACTGAAGAATTATTTCTCAACAAACTTGCATAGAATAGCATAAGTGGTCAATGTTCAGGGCATAATCTTTTTGAAGCAATTTAATAATTGTTGCCTAGTAATATATTGCTTATGTTGCTCTCTTAATACCAGTTTGAGACACTGGGAACTAGTGCCATTTAAGAACTATTAATGTTTCAGTGCAAAGTTGCATCAGTAGTTGCAAAAGTATAACTCGTATTACTTTACATTTGAAGAAAGCAATGGTAGAAGCCTTAGAATATTTTGCATTTTACCAACTCTGGCATTGCGTAATAGCCCCCCCCCATGAAAAATATATAGAATGCATGTATTAATATACATTGCACATGGGCTTTACCCTTGAGACGTTATCAGGGCTATGACAAATGAACAATATTTCAAGAATGTTTCATTCTCCATAACTTGGTCTGCTTTATCATTTAAACAATATTTTAGAAAGCAAGCTGTTGTTTTGTTGTTTTCAGCATGCATGATGTTAGGTGCTAAGTAGCCTTCACAAAAATTATAGAGAATTATATTAGGGATCATCTACTTGTATCATGTTCATAAGGGCAAATAGAAATCAAAGGGCTGATAGCATCTTAAGGCTGCAAATTATGAAATGAGTTGTTTTGTGAAAATAAGTCAAGTTGGAGTGTCAACCAATAGGCTTTCTCCATCCATATCTGAGATTATGATTAGTTTTTGATTACACAGTATGACTTTTTCAGTTTGAAGACTCCTCTGCTTACTATTTCCTGCATCTGTAAATATAGAACCAATATTGTAGGAAAACATTTCAATCTGAATCTTACACTTGCTTACTTGGATATCATATGAATACAACAGAACTTAATATGGAGAAAAATAGGATAATATTAGGCTCTGAATTTAAAATCAGCACTTTTCTTGACTTACTTAAAATGAAATGGGTTTTACTATGTACTGTGAAATAATATACAGTAGTTGTTACAACTGAGGTATAATTGGTAGTGTTGATTGTACCCCCTGCATTGTTGCAAAACTAATTAGGATGTTGTTGCAGGTAGATTTATCTATGCAAAGATTTTAACGTTTATCTATGCAAAGATTTTAACGTGTTAGCAATTGAGTTTTAAGTGTTGTTGCAGGTAGATATATCTATGCAAAGATTTTTAGATTTATCTATGCAAAGATTTTAACGTGTTAGCAATTGAGTTTTAAGTAAGTCTGTTGTTTCTTTCTACCAGGAAGGAGGGAAGGAACAAGAGAGAAATTAAAAAAGAATGGTTAGTAAACATTGCTCTTTGAAGGTTTAATTTGTATATAGAAAATTACACCTCCATTTCTTTAAACATATAGGTTTTTTAGGGCTAAACTACGCTGTCTCCGAAGACAAGTCTGTCCAAGATTTCAATATGTCTGTTCACTAGTTTCTTATTGTCTCTGAATTTTTTTAATGTGTATGTCCTAATTAATCTTATGTAATGGTCCTCTATGCTCCTTGAACTACTTGGAATCACATGCATTTTTTAATTTTAAAAAATAGCTTATATGTTTGGCCACACAATTGACTAGGCAAAGCTCTGTGCCTATAAATGTAAACATTTCAGTCAACACCATGTAAATGCATTGTTTTCAATAGATTGACTGAAATCCAGAAGTAAGTTGCAACAAGAGTAGGTCCATCAAATCAGTGGAATTTACAGAGGAGTTCCAGTGCAACCCCCCTTCCCATTTAATCAACCTGCTTTAGTTGCAAGGTATTATTAGATTTTAATTACTCTGAATTAGAGTGTGAAATATTAAATTTTGAAGAATACTTGGTTCCTGTGTTTTGACTTTATGGTACAGAACTGGATGCTTGAGACTTTCTAGTGCAGTACAATGTTCTTATTGCAGAATGTGGGATTAGTATCAAGTAGAGATGTGTCCATGAAGGCTGTAGTCCTGTGCATGTGTTAGTTACATGCCATTTAACTTTCATCCAAGTATGAATAAGATCATACGGCCTAAATGTTGTGTACTGAGGTCCCATTTCATGATGTACCATCTTTTAAAGCTCAAAAAATAAATGTTGTGTAAGATGTATGCTTATATTTGATGTAAACCAGAACAACTCATTCTGTGAAAAAAAGTAGTTGTATATAGGCTTCCTACCCATTTATCCTAGTAAAATTGTGCAAATTTATACTTAACCAGGAGTAAGCTCAGTTGAATTTAATGCCAGTTACTTAAGAATAGACATGACTGGTCCTGTACTGTAAAGACGTCTCCATAGACTTTTGTCCGGTGCCATAGAATCAATGGGTTGTTTCTTCAATAGACAGTATTAGTTGCATTGTTGTTGCTGTCATTGTTTTGACTTATATACAGCTCTATAAAGTTACAGCTCTTTCTGGGTGGTTTGCAACATAATTGTGCAAGGAATACTTAGCTCCCCACTGAGCTGGATACATATTTTATCAACCTCGGAAGCATGGAAGGCTGAGACAACATTGAGCTGGCTATCTGAGCCCATCAGGATCAAACGCTGGTTGCGAGAGCAGAGGCTTCATTGCAGTACTGCAGTTTAGCCATTGCAGCCATTGGTCATTTAGAACAATTTGTTAGGTGAAGAAAAAGAGCAATAAATGGATAATGCCTAGAATTGCTGAGTATTTTTCTGACAAAAGCTCTTATTTCTCAATTGGTGAGGAGCTAGTGTTTCATTCGCATAACAGCTGTAAAACAAGACAAATTATACCTGTTGAATATATTACTGTGCTGCAGCTGCTTAGGAGCCAGTGTCATAGAAGTATGTAGTCCTTCTAGCCATAATCTCTAATTTATGGATTCACTGTAATCACTGTAAGTTTATGTTCATTTTTCAAGAGAATTTAAAGGAGAAATATTTGAATGGGAGAAGATGGTATAACTCCACAATGCGGAACCAATTAACTTTGAAGCAGAAGTTCAGTATTAAGATTACTTATTCCTTAGGGCTACCTTGAAATACATTATTTAAAATTATGACAGTTTGAGCATTTGATTTGTAGAGGTTAAACAGCAAAGTTTTGAGATATGCCTTTTAAATCTTCATATAAAAAGTTAATTTTTGCTGTTCGAGCTTAATTATTAGGTTTTGCTGTTATGGAACTTTGTTCCTTTCAAGAGCAGAGAGGATTTATAATGTTTAAACACTACTGAATTGTATGACAGGCATGCTTCTGTAAAAGAGAGAAAATCCTGTCTTTCTGAGAGGTAATTCTGGCGTGAAAAGAAGTGTTTAAAGGCTTATCTGAGAAGTTAACTGACAAGATTGATTAATGTGTAAGATAATGACCCTGACTTCTGGCTCATTGACTCAGCTTTCCAGAGGTGATTTAGAATACAATGAAAGGGAATGGAGAGCAGCTAGGA